TGGAGCGGGTATCCTGCTCTTGACCAAGCTGGGTGGGCTGTTGTTCGATGTGCTGTCGTCGGGAGCACCGTTCTACATCATGGCTGGGTTCAATGGGGCATTGCTGCTGGCAGGCCTGGTGAGTGGATTCATTGGGCACTCACGATCCGCTGGACCAGCTGGGTTCGGTGTGTAGTAGCGTCTCCATTGTTATGTGTTTCTTTGTCTCGAAGACAAGGATTCAAGTCAGTAGCCTGGCTGCTAAAAGAATTAGTATGGATTTGTTTAGCTTGAAAGATGAGCCGCAGCCGGCGCCTGTAGTCTAGCGTGGCTCAGTTCAACTGAACATCTACTAGTAATGAGTAGTTATTCGTTTGTTGCGCTTTGAAACGAGGAAATTCGGCCCCCACGTCTGGCCCCAGTTTGGCTGCCGTGCCTCCGTTTCACGGAGAAATCAGGAGAAGTGAGAATGAACCAAAAGGAAAAAAACTCTTGTACTTTGAATCGATTTACTATTTGGTTTTCGAGGGCGCGGAAGAACTCTTGTCATGATCTTGAGGGAGATCCTCGATCCATCTAATTTCCCCGGCTCCATCAGCAGTTCCACCAGACAACAACATCCAAGAACCTCCATCCGTCAGCGCTTACAGGTTCTTCTCTAGGCTATGTTGTTAGTTTCTCAGCACCCATTAGTGCGTGAGGGTCTGCTTCCTGGCTATAGCCAATTGGGCAATTGCACTGCGATGTTTGACTGCGCCCCCAACAGCGCTTGATGCCAGACCCTGTCCATCTCCAACCCTCTCAGCCTCGCCGCCATTTGCCCGTCTGCCTTCCAACACGCCAGGGGAAAAGGAAAAAATGGATTTCGCCCCCATGGCCCTGGACCCCATCCTGACGGGCCTTTATTTACCTCGTCATGCCCAGCGAACATGTTCCAAGACAGTCTCAATCCAAATCAACTCTCATCCTCCTCTTTTTCCCAAGTCCTCATTCTCCCTAAGTCCTCATCCATACAACCCTATATACCCTCCTCCCTAATTCAACCATATAATCACACATCATGCGTCTCCAATTGACTACCTCTCTGGCCCTCCTGGCCACTGCCTCCACCGTCGTCGCTGACGATGTCGTCTCGGTCCTCTGGCCCTCCTCCGCCAGCGGCGAGAACTACAACGCCAAGCTGATTGGAACCGTACGTCTTCTCCAAACACCCCCTCCCACCATCGTATGCTTCTCCAGATCTAACTCTCATTCTAGACCGGCGGCGACCTCACCACTCTGGTCATCAACTGCCCGGCGACAGCCAGTGCCTCCGTGACCAGCTCTCCCGCTGCCACCGCCGCAACCACCAGCGCCACCGTCGTCAAGCGTGCTACCACCGCCTCCAGCTCTGACGACGACGATGACGATGACTTCAACGACAGCTGCAACATCCCCGACAGTGGCGAGACCCTGACCGTCGGCAGCAGCACCTGGGCCTTCACTTCCTCCGGTAACGAATTGTAAGCTAACCCCCTCATGCCTGGTCCCCACAATTCCATATACTTATCTGTATACTTACCACACAAAACAACAGCTCCGAACAGGCTACCTGCTCCTTCACCGGCACCACTGTCGCTTCTTGTGCCTTCACCTACAACATTGACACCCAGACTTCCTCCTCCAGCGGTGTTACCACCACTCAGCTCAACAAGGTCCCCATCACCATCACTGCTACTGCCTCTGCCACTGGCACTGGCACTGCTACCGGTGGTGCCTCCACCGCCTCTGCTACGGGTGATGCTTCAGGCTCGTCTGCCGCCTCTACCGGCGCTGCTACTACCACCAGTGACAGTGGTGCGTTCGCTACTGGCGCTAGCCAGTGGGTTGCAGGTGGTGCTGCCATGATGGTTGCTCTGGCTATGGCTTAAACAGTACCCATTGATCTATGGGTTGAGCCATGGAAGTAGAGACGTGAATTATTCCGTAAAAGGAAGCAAAGGGGTTATGATATATCAAGAAAGGATATACAACATACACTACACAATGTGAGCATATAAACTCTGCATTTTAGAACTGCGCGCAAGCTGGATGGGAAAATGAGGCGTGGTGGATTGATGATCATGTACCACAAGTGAAGGATGGTTTCTTTTTTTTTTTTTTATTCTATATGTCTATCTATTTACTACTACTATTACTACCCTTACATTGATGTGTTTATTATGATTCTAATCACTCAATATCATTATGTCGATTATTACCACCAACCAAGTTGAGACAAGATGTTTAGTAGTTTAGTAAGTAGTTATATTTACACTCTGTAGCAGGCATACTACTTCGATAATATTAGGAAGTAAGTTCCAGATACTATAAGCATGTCCCAAGACTTCCCCTAACTAGTACTCTAATTGTCACCAATTATTATCCACTGTAGACATTGAGCACCTTGTATGAAGTTTTTTACTACCTACCTACCATACACACAGGCTAAAGTGAAGAGTATATAACACTAAATGGGTATTTCTTGAAATGAGTCTCTATTCATTGGATTACCTGATACTTCTCGAGGCCAGATCCAAAGATGGATTTATCTATTTTCAAGCGAATAGGAGCCAATCGATCTTCCACTACAAGTACAGTGTTTCCTCAAGAAATGATTCTATCTCACATGCTAGTCTCCTCACATTCACATATCTAAGAAAGAAATTCGGTTAATCTACTTCTTTCAATTACTTACGTGAATCATACAAGATTGTTGTACAAGAGAAGGTATATCAGATAGCTAATGGTAATTTAATAATCTTTGTCGTATCTCATTCATCGGCTGATTGGCTGGCTGGCTATCTAGCTAGCATTACATGACCCCCGGACCGCGCGGAAGGAAATTGCCAAATGTATCCCCACCCTTTCCCCGGTCATCTCTCGGTCGTCGCTCGTCTGAACGGACCTCCAGTCCAGCTTGGATAATGTTAGTCCGCAGAACGCGAATATGTGCTTCGCGGATGTAATTATCCAAGCTATCCAGGATGGACTGCTGGACGTCAGTGCGCAGGTTGACCTGGTTGGAGACCAGCACCTTCTTTTCCAAGTCAATGCGCGCGTCGAGGGTGCCATCCTGAATCAGTTCGATGAGCTCCTGCACGAAGGGAGAGTTGGAGTCTGTGGGGTCGGCTTGGCCGCCTATGACTCCCGGGGCAAACATTTTCGTCATGGATTCGAGGGTCACGCGGCTGAAGGGTACGAGATACTGTTGGATGGACTTGGTGCGGATGCGCGTGAACAGTGTCTTGACATGGCGCTGTAGGTGGATGTCGAGGAGGTAGTCGGCCTTGTAGGCTTCTAGAATCTCGAGACAGGCTCGGAATTTAGAGTTGCAGAAGAATGAGATCGCCCGGCGGATGTGCGGCTCCAGCTCAAGGAAGTTGCGGAATGAATTGTTGTCGAGGACGCGACGTTGTAGCTCATTGCGGTCCATTGATGCCAGCGCGCAGAGCCCACCGTAGACTGCAACGTCGTTTGAGGTGAGTACTTCGTTGTAAGAGTCTCCTAAGCTCGGATCGGTGGCCAAGAAGCTGTTGGCAGCATCCACATATGCACCAGAGTGTAGCTGGGAAAGGCCCAGCGCAGCAGACATCTTGGGCTCATTTTTGGCTTGCTCCTCTTGCTTCGATTGCAGGTTGCGTAGCCGGTGCACATTCGTCTGCACATTGAGCCAGTCGCCGCGCTCAATTGCGACATTAATAATCTTGAACAGCATCGACGCAATGTGCGTTGGTGTGGTGCAATAGTCCCTCATACGAGAGTATGCTTTGGAAGCCGACACAAGATCACCTATCTGATTGTAATGTTGCCCGAGGTCTTCGTTGCCCATCTATAAGCGGTTAGAAAACAGTTGATAGCCGGTAGCCTTGCCAGATGCACTCTAACGTACCCTTATACTCTCTTTGATCAGGTTGTTCTTATAGCCTCGGAGCTCGTGTTCTAGTCGATCTGTTTCCGCCTTGACAGACTTCTTCATATGATCCACCCAGTTTGTATCAAGCGTTGCCTCAGGGTCACCGGGTGCAACTTCGGCAAGTGCCCGAACTGCATTTTCGTATCTGGAAACATCCCTTCCGCTCTTGGCTTCTGCAACTGCGGCCTTCAATGCCTCGACGGAGAGATAAGTGGAGCATGTGCCTATGAGGAAGAGTCGATTGAATCTGGTTCGGCCTAGAAGAAAGAAGTGGGGTTAGCCACAGCAAGGAGCACGTGTGCTCTAAGACCTAACGTACCGGTGTAGTTCGCAATGTATGACTCGAGTTCAAACTTAGGCGGATCTAGAAAATGAGAGTTAAACATCGCTGTTCCTTTGGATCAATCCAACAGAGCCAACATACCATCAACTTTCACCATAGGACCTGCTACATTTCCACCCAAAGTCTCCAAGTCCACGCCCCCGGCACCAGTGACTGAGCCAGCACTTTGAGCTGGAACAGCCCCATAGAAAGGGTCTGACTGCGTGTAATCCATGTCGTCGATTCCGTGCGGCTTTCGGCTACTGACACACGAGGTAATATAGAACGATGTATGGGGCCAAGAGCAAACCGAATGGAGAGACGTATCCGGTCCGTAGCCTCCGGAAGTGTAGTCGAGTATCCACGAAACCCCTGGTGTTGAAATGCAGTTAATCAGGTGTGATAACGCCGCACAGATAGAGGCGAAGTGGAGAACGAGAGGGTCTTTAAGGTGTAGGCGTCCGCGGGTGTCAGGAAACGGCTTCGTTTAAGCTCATATATGGTATTCCAGCAAGTCCGGCCACTCAGCAGTGTGGAGGGCAATCTGTAAATCAAAACAGCAGCATGCAAGCCGGCAGGGTGGGATGTGCGGGTGAGATGATCTATCGCAAAGGTCACCGACGGCCGCATCATTTGGCCCGATCTATCGACGTAGCTGCCTAGGCTGTATTCACCGCCTTTATGACCGCCTTGTAGCTATCCTTACTTCATTCCTCAGGCCACCATCAGGCCAGTGCCTGCATACCAACTGGTCTCCAGTTACTACATGATTACTGGTCGTACCTAGATAGTCACGCCTAATATGGTAAATTTCTTCAGGCTGTATCTTTAGATACAAAGTCTCTCCCAAGTCTCCCTTGCAGTGGTTGGCGGCTATTCTGTGTTACCATTAGGTTCGCAACAGTCCATGTCCCCACTAAAAGCCCTAGAAACACTGCGAAGAGGTAGCTGTGCTGCAAAACAACTGTCATGTATAGTGACGAAGATGGAGCTGCCTCCAAGGAAAGCGAGGTAGCCTATAACGCCCGCATTCGGCTACTGGTATCGATGACCGAGTTCCTCTCATGGCTGGGACTTGCAGCAGCTGTCACAGACGTTGCGAATTATCGAGTGTATTCCTCCAGTCCTTCCTAGTCACAACAGGCCTTGCTACACGATAGTAAACAACTCTGCGCAATGTTTTTCGATTATTTCGTTAGTCTGACTTGAGGTCATCACCACGAACTCATCGGCTGTGTCGAGCGTATCGAGAACGATCAGATCATCCACAGATTGTGATCGACTAGAGAGAATTGCAATCAGTAAAATTCTCTATCATACTCCACGTGGGGCTTACCTGGCATCGACTGCGTTTGTACTAATTTCAAGCTCTCTTTTGGCGTGTCATTACGGAGATCAGCACCAAAAAATGGGATTATACTTACTCTACCCCCATAGTCACGTCAGTGTCACTAATACAACAGTCAGATAATTATTCTTCGAGTAGCGTGGCTTCGAAACAACATACCTAGTTGCAGTTGGGACTGATGATACACTCTCTGCCTCAGGGGCAGGTAGGCTCGGTCGGTGGTGCACAGGAAACGTCATTTCTTCCGCTGGAATGGCTTGAGCATTCGCGGGGCCAGAGGTCAGTCTTAACCAGCTTAGTTAGTGAGAACGTAGAATAAGGATCATGGACCACCTACGCAGCCGGGGGAATAGCAGGCGGTCTAAGCATGGCTGATGGAACACTTATCTCATCAGTCACCATATTTCAGGAAAGATCATGTATCTTACCTGCGCATTGTTGCGGCAGCATGGATAGGACCGCGGCGGCTCTATATCAGACGGCCTTAGCATAACCTCATGGCTAGCCCCTGTCAAATAGCTGCAGAGCACATACAATATTCAGAGCATGATTTCCACGCCTTGCCTGAACAGATGTACTCAGCACGGTGCAATATTAACAATTCAGCTCACGTAGTACTTACGACATCCGTGATTCTTGCTCGAATACGCTCGCGCCGTCTGATTGCTCGCCGTCTGTTTCTGTTACGACGGGTAACGATTCTATCGAGAGCTCTTTGGGTTTCCGTGAGGCTAACTCTGGTTCCGGGTCGGTGCGATATCATGAGAGACTGCACGAGCATTAGTAGCCGCGCTGTAACAGCCAGTTCAACGTACAAGTTCATAGAGGCCCCGACAAAGGGTTAGGAAGTTACATTGCGTATCTTCGTGCCCAGGTCTAGAGCAGAAACGACAGAAACGGGATTCCTAAAGTAGCTGTTAGAGTAGGATTATAGCTGACGATGAGGACTGCTCTTACGCGGTCACCAGGCATATTGTTTATGCCGAAAGCAAAATTCACGACGCCTAACCTCAGAAACGTTGATATAGTGGTCAGACACAAGACAAGGTAAAGAGCACCTTGGCGGATGTTACTCGTTCCTTCAGGCTCAAGATGAAAGGGAAGGTTGTTATGGGATGAGAGATAGCTTTGCGAAACGAGAGGTGATGAAAGAGACGAGTAGTAGCCGGAGATGAAATAAATGAATCGTGTCCTTTCGATGTGTGAGAGAAGTAGAAGACTGGCCCCGAGGGGGAAAAGAAGCAGCGCAAGGAAAGGTGTTGCAAAGGAAGAAAGAAGTGAATGGGTTCCGTGTCGACCAAACTGGCAGGAACACTGGGGTGACCTGCCCCGGCCAACCGGAGACCCGCCAGTGTTGAGTTGCCAAAGAAGTTGCTGCATACATTGGAAGAGTGAATGCAAGATAGGAAAGAAGCGGGGACAACTGCTGCCAATACTTGAAGAAGAGAGGTTGTTGTTGCTCTGAGTGCGGATGTTGTTGACATCTCCGAGAAAAAGATGCACAAAAGTCATGCTTTGTGGTAAAGTCAAGTAAAAGTAAAGTCCCCATCATTGACAGTGATCCTCTTCTTAGTCGAATGTCCCAGGAAGAATAGTATTAGTACATTAAAAGCAGGCAGAAGGTGAAGAATTCTTCTTCCAAGGAGTGTAAAAGTATGTTAATGACCACTGTGCAGTGCACCTCCCCCTCAAACTCGACTCACTTTGGCTTCACCACACTGCTGCGTTCTGATTCAAAGGCAACAAATACCCAGGGATATCTTTCGGGGATAGTCAGTCGCTCGTCTCGCAACATAGCTATCCGTAGATGCCATTCACTGCAGCCTTTGGTTCCCAACTGGGTAAATTGTTTGTATCTTCATTTGAACATCAGAAACTGCGCACTACTGCCTTAAATGTAGCACGCCTGGATCAAAGTCGCTATTAGGTCTGGAAAGAGTGGATGGTCTCATGAATTCCCATTACATAAATTGTGTTGACTTTGAAAGAAGACGCCCCATCAATTAGCTGCGAGCGCTCTCAGTAAAGAAAGAAGAATATTTCAGAGATCAACAAAACATGCGCGAAAAGTGACTATTACATAAATTTGGCATGCCCCATTACAGATGTTCCAGCCTTGGACTTGGAAGAGATGGCATTAACTTCGTACTGATTTGTAGCCTGGTCTCAAAGCAATGTTGTAAACCCAGCCAGGAAAGCTCCCACAACTACAACCAGGCCATATACCTGCCCAAGGTCAGTCGACGGCCTGGCTGCTGCTCCCTTATCAGGGACTCCAGTAAATGGCGGAAGGGAAGTTGTGGCTGCGGCAGTAGTGGAAGCAGCGGTGGATGTCACGTTTACACGCTTGGGGTTCTGTGCACCACAGGGGTGCTCAGACCGGCAATTTGACTGGCAGGTCGAGTCACCATTGCATTTAGTGACACATTCGTCATTCTCTTCCGTGCAAATAAAGTATGGGATGGTCTCTGAGTACTGAGATGAGTTGGGACTCAGGCCATTGCTACAGATGCACTGGTATTGGAGAGTTTTCTGCATTCAAACCTCATTGCATTAGTCAAGATAAAGTAGATTGGATAGATAGCCTGGTTTATCAATCGCACTTACAGCGTCGCATGTGTTTTCTTTGGGTGAGCCCGATGTGTTTGGCAACTGATAACAAAGTAATGGACATTGCGAGGTCTGAGACTGACACCATTGCTCTATCGTTACACAGTCAGATGAGGCATTTGGCACCATAGTATTGCCTGCAGAGAAAACATACTTCTTGTATCGATTGGGACGCTATTTGGGTCGATGGAGGAGGTGTTTTGCGAGAGGACCAGGCCAGCCACGGAGGCTATAGCAATGAGGGGACGAAGGAGAAGCATATCGAGTGGCGTAAAAGCGGTGGGTACAACAGCGGAACTTGAGGAATACTGAAAGAAAGGTCCTTGAACTGTGACGATGATGCAAGATGTCAGTGTTGATCTCTGTAACTAATGAATGGGAATCTGGGAGATATGATAGCCTCGCACATACGTGTTCAGTCCAAAGCAGCTTGAAGTGTAGTAAAGTTTTGGACAGGTCGTATGCCAATTTTATGGAGTGAGCTGCTAGTGATATCAACAACGGGGAACTCAAATAGGAAATAGTAAGAGCTCAGGACTGCCAGAGGGAGAACCGAGAAAAAAAGAAATCAGGAAGCCAAGAGGGCAAGCGATAAATAGTGAAAAAGCTGGCGCTCCAAGCTCGGTATAAGTATTCACGCACACCGTACTACTTTTCGCCCGTTACGCGAGGTCAGCTTGGGGTGGCGGCGCTATCAGTTCCCTAAGCTCCAGACGGCTTCTTCTGGATTCAGCCATCAAATTCCAGGCCGGATTGGCAAGAGCCAAGTGAGTGGCTAGTCTCCATCTTTCTTATTTTCTTTTCATGACTGGAGTCCGGTCCCATTGACCGTATGACTCTTACCCACCGGGGGGAATGACAACGACGGGGCTAAAACAGGTTGAAGACAGAGGCGAGGGTGCAAGACAAGAAACGCCGGAAGAGAGTCCGGTCGAGTTGGTACCACTAGCCGATTGGAAAGTCATCTAGCAAAAGCTCCATACAGTACGATAGCAGATAGGACTAAGTTTCTGTCTGAACCCTCGTTGGCGGGTTGCAATATCGAGTTAGCCTGTCAGGTAACATGGCCCCTCTTTCCTCCCTGCTTGCTTTGCTGCTATGTTTAGTTCTCCTTCAGCCATTGACTGCAGGTTTGGGAGAATTTGCCAGCGCGCCTGACTTCTGCATGGAACAGAAAGCAGCAGACCAGCCTCTGATGGTGTGAGGATGTCTCAGAAAGAGACCCAGTTGATAGGGTGAATCTTTCCAGATGGCTGACAGCCGACGGGGACGGGGAAAGCAACCGCACCTCGGCTGGAGCAGGATTGGGGGGAGGGATGAAGGAACCCGCATTGTCTCAGTTGAAGGACCCCGACTGGGCGATCCTCCAATAACTAGAGAATGCCTGATTGGGCAAGGCTACTCTTGGCTTTTTCTAGCGTGGACCCTGGTCACTAGCCCTAGTTGGGACTAGCAGGAATGAACTAGTCTGCGCCAAATTGGCTAGCGGGAATTAATGCGGCCGGAATTGGATTATCCAGATTAACTAGTCGAATCCTGAGAGATTTGAGTCTTGCTTCTGCTGCACAAAGAAAGCTTCCTGCGTGACCTTTTTTTGGGTCTCATTTTTGATGCAGAATGGAGATCTCTTTCAAACAAAAAGCATAACCTTCGAACTAGATGTCTTGTGGTATTTTATCATACTTTCACCCATACCGGACAGACCTCCAGTAACTACAGTACTTAGGTCTTTCGCGGGTGCTAGATAAGCAGCACATGACTCGCTCCTTCTGGAAAGGCGTTGGACGACGTGGTCCCGTGATCCCCGTTAGCTCCTTTCGGAACACGGAGCGTGGCCGGTGCAATGGCTTGATATCGATCGTCAATCCATGGGCTTCAAGCAGCAATTTCTCCCCCATCTGAGACATTCTATCTTATCAACATCCCTTTCCCCTCCTTTCAGAGTCTCCGCTTCTCTCACTCTCGGGTATCATACCGAGCCATACCTGACCTAAACCCGGGCTGACACCCTGTGGCTTTGAAACGCAGTACACAGACCTCCTGTTGTACCAGCAAGCTTCACTAGTAATTCCCGTAAGTGACCAAACATTTAGCCAACCCCCGCCACTCATCTCCTCTTTCGTGGTTGCACGCCGTTTACCAGCCTATTATTAGTGACAGCCAGGCTCGCATTTGTCCCGTCCACCGAATATCTAGATGGATGGAGCCAGCGAATGAGGACATCGCCTCCGTGCCTCCGCACCAACCTCGCCCTTCCTCACCTACCAAATCCTCGTCCCCTCCTTCGGACATCATAAACAATGATACTATAGCTGCGTCCCTCTCGGACGGGGTCGCTGTGAGCAACGGATCGATCCTTCCTCGGGCACAGGACCTCTCGAATAAGGACCGTCCGGTGTCCGGCATAGTTCCGCCGTATTGGAGTCACCATAGAAACGCATCCAGGGCTTCACACATCTCTCTCGACCAGGCGCCAGGCATTACACTTGAGGACCATACAGAGGATCCAGATTGCGAAACTAGTCGTGGTTTGTGGGCGAAAAGTGTGGTGGTCGATGATCATGTTGTCGTACAAGGCAAGACGGGCATCGGGTCCTATGTCGTGTGGAATTGCAGGATACAAACCCTGGATGTATGTCAGCGTTCTATAACCGGATCTCGTCGTTGCTTTGCAATGTTGTCGCTCCATACTCTCAGGAGCTCTGTGTGCTAATGACTTGTAGGGCGGTCCCATCACCGTTCGTTTAAGGTGAGCTTGGGAAATGCATCAATGGCTGGTCTTTGCTAAGATTTCTGTCCCTAGATACTCTGAATTCGACGACTTGCGACAACGATTGGTGGCATCCTTCCCGCATGCGAAGAATGCCCTACCTCCTCTTCCTCCCAAGAGCGTTATATGTACGTCTGAAACAATCCACACGAGACTTGAAACTGACTGACGGATGACACCCAGTCAAATTTCGCCCTTCGTTTCTTGAGTCCCGCAGGGTTGGATTGGAATATTTCTTGAAGTAAGCAGCAGGAACATGGTTCTCGGTTTTGAATCTTGTTCGTGGCTGATAGCTAACATCAATCGGCATAGCTGTGTCCTCTTGAACCCTGAATTTTCCAGCTCACCAGTCCTCAAGGATTTCTTATTCGGGAGACTGTGTTAATCTCAGCATATCACTGAACTCAATATCTAGCTACACCTATCTGGTATAACGGACTCGACGATGTTAACGCCTGCCTCGGATAATTATTGCATTTGGTGACGAGTCAAGTAGGGACAACAACCCCTGCAATTGTAGGGTCGAAGTCGACTAGACAAGCGATAGCACTAATGCAGCCTTTGAGTTGCTATATATTAATGCGCAAAGTTTCCCACATTCATGTGGAAGGTAGCAGATGCATCTTCACTTGCAGCTGAAGGGGCCTTCTTGCCTACGAAACTGAAATTGAAGGATCGAAGCTCTGAAAGGCTTAGAGACAGCTAATAATCTTTCCACAAATTCGTCCATCGGACGCTATATGTGGCCGCCATATTCCCTATTGCGGATATGGGCGTTTGATTGACTTCTAGCTCAGTACTCAGAAGAAGCATGACTTGACTTTCAACACGTCAGCCACCTTGCACTGCAGGCATGCAAGAATTGCGACGTTGTTATTACATTTACATTCTCCCGCCATCCGAAATGCATATGCACAGTATACTTTATTTAGCGTCAAGGAATTTATTAGCCTCAGTGGCCATAAATAGCCATATATGCATGTACGGGGCACATGCAGTATCATAGTCCAGAACATCTTAATTATTCCTAATAAAACACAATCATAGGTCATAAATTCAATCTTGACAAACCCTCAGTCAATCCACGCAAGACAAACAACCAACCCACAAACTCAGCTCTTCCCCACAAGATCAACCACCACCGCCTGCGAAGCATTCTTCTCTTCTTCCCTTACCTTCTCCATCCGTCTCGAATACTTCTTCCCCGCCACAATCCACCACAGTAGCTCCAGCAGCAGGAACCCACCGACACATACACACGTATAATTCATATTCGAGGCTGTCATGTAGAAATCAGCACTCATAAGATTCGACATCAATACAAATTAGAAACAAAAGTATCATATATAACTCACCAGTAACAGGCATATCATACGGAAACGAGAAAAACACAATCGCAAAGATCAGCCATGCAACAGTGATAATGTTGACCGTCATTCCTGCTACATATCCCAATGAAAATGGGCCACGGTGCATGGTTTTGCGACCAAGGAGGACGTTCGTGAGGATGGGGACGAGGTAGGCGATGTTGTTGATTGTTCTGCGTATGGAGGAGAGTCAGTATTTTGGGGGGCTTTAGCTTGTTGTTCTAAGAGTTATAGGAAGGGGAGGAGTGCGTACACAGCAGAACTCATCATCGAGTTGAATGCGGTGCTGGAGCCAAGGTAGATACAGCCGAGAAGGGCGATGATGATACCCACGCATAACTGGGCGTTGACGGGAGCGCCGAATCGCTTGTTGACTTTGGAACAGCTTGGTGTGCGGTTAGTATCCGTGGTACAGGTTCAATAGGTTTGTTTTGTATGGAACGTACAACTTAGAGAAGGGAAGTCCGTCGTCTCTGGCAAATGCCCAGAGCATTCGTCCGGTGCCTATTAGGGTTACAGCGTTAATACATGAACGGTTTGTTCGTAGCTTGGAAGAGGTTGTCTAGTCATACTCAGCTGTGAGCCGATCACGCATGGTCCGACTGCAACCCAGAGAAGGAAAACGAGGGCAAAGGCGCCTCCGCGACTTTGGGTTGCCTGGCGAAAGAGTTCTGCGAGGGGAAGACCTGTCGGTGAGTCGGCGAGGCTTGCGTAGTCTTGGACGGAGAACATGAGGCTGAGGAGGTAGGTGAGGCCGGTGACGAAAGCTATGGCGAGTGTGCAAGCTAAGAAAACAGTTGCGTTAGTATATTCTTAGATTGAACGGGGTTTTTTGGCCTACCTAGGGCTAAAGGAGCGTTTCTTCCTGGCTGTTGCAGTGTATAGTTTAGCTTCTGATTAGGAGCTAACGTGTGTTACTTACGTTTGGCATTTCCTCGGTGATGTGCTGTAGTTCTAATTAGTAATTACTTCCATGCAACGCGAACTGGAAGACATACAGTGATCCCATCTAGACCGCCTAGACTGTACAGAGGGTTGACTAGGCCCGTTATGAAACATACGACATTGTTCTTCCAGCCAGTTTCGTTGATCCAGGTTCGAAAGACAAATTCTGCGTCGTTGTGCTTGGGAGCAGTGGCTGCGACGGTGACCAGGATGGCGAACCAGGCTAGTTGAAGGTAGCATACTGTTCCATCAATTATATCAGCAGTTGAGCCACAGAAACTGAGGAAGTTATACCAACACGAGAACTTGTTGATTGCTGGCATCCACTTATTGCCAAACATGACGATTCCAGAGGTTATAACGTTGAACCCTTGGTACGCAACGAAAGTCATCCAAGGCTGCACAACAAGATTGGGTCTGTACAAGGCAATGAGGGCGATGAAGTTCGACGAGTAAACGAGGTTTGTAGAGGCAGTGGTAAATATCCCTATAGACATCAGCATCAAATCACTTAGCAGATATTGTAGAGGTCCATACAGCCGAACACTGTGCTCCAGCCAGTCGCAAAGCTTAGCACATTGCTGTACCGTTTCGGAGCAATGGCTGCAATCCAGTGATACATCCCACCTTCGACTGGGTACGCAGA